GCCCGGCTATTTTTTAGTTGCAGCTGTTGTTGTTAGGTGGGCCAGGGCTGGATTCAAACTCGCTAGCTCAGGTCTATGTGGCTAGTGCCTTAGCTGCTTGAGCCACAGGTACCAAGCCTATCTTATAGTTTTTTATGTTATTAACTTTTGATCTCAGCAAAGTAAATGATTAAATGATAAACTGGTCTGTATTACCTGGGTTGTTTTCTTTAATGGTAACTAAATAGAATAATCCTCTCGGTGAAAGGAGATCTGAAGCCACTGGGAAGAATCTGTCCATGACTTCTCGCCCGTTTCTGCCACCAGCCCAGGCTGCCGCTATTCCTTGACTTCCTACCTGTGACCAATTGGAAAGACTGTTTGCTGTTAAGTCAAGTTTCATTAGATCATAAACTGAATCTTTTTATATATATAAATATAAACCCTTTCGACAAATGATAGCATAAACTAGTATATATTTGACATTTCACTGACAAAAAAGGCAGTAAAATTAACTCTCAGTTCCAGTTTCCTTGTTTATGTGACCTTGGGTAAATTAATAATCTCTGTGAATTAGACAGCCATTGCAGTACATTGAGCTCCACAGAGACAGCGCCAGGGCAAGGGAGAGCCGGATGGGCACTGGGCAACTCTGTGCCTTACTGAGGAAAAATAACTAAACGTGGCAAAGGAGATCCTAAGAAGCCGAGAGGCAAAATGTCATCACATGCATTCTTTGTGCAAACTCATCGGGAGGAGCACAAGGAGCACCCGGGTGCTTCAGTCAACTTCTCAGAGTTTTCTAAGAAGTGCTCAGAGAGGTGGAAGAGGTGGAATTTGAAGATATGGAAAATTTGAGTGGACAAGGCCCATTATGAAAGAGAAATGAAAACCTATATCCCTCCTAAAGGGGAAACCAAAATGAAGTTCAAGGATCCCAGTGCACCCAAGAGGCCTCCTTTGGCCCTTTTCTTGTTCTGTTCTGAGTATTGCCCCAAAACCAAAGGAGAACACCCCGGCCTATCCATTGGTGATGTTGCAAAGAAGCTGGGAGAGATGGGGAATTACACTGCTGGGGGTGACAAGCAGCCTGAGGAAAAGAAGGCTGCAAAGCTGAAGGAAAAATACGAAAAGGATATTGCTGCAGACCGATGCAGCAAAAAAGGGAGTCATCAAGGCTGAAAAAAGCAAGAAAAAGAAGGAAGAGGAGGAAGGTGAGGATAATGAAGAGGATGGAGAGGAGGATGAAGAGGAAGAAGATGATGATAAGTTGGTTCTAGCGCAGTTTTTTTTTCTTGTCTATAAAGCATTTAACCCCCCTGTACACAACTCACTCTTTTTAAAGAAAAAAACTGAACTGTAAGGCTGTGTAAGATTTGTTTTAAACTGTACAGTGTCTTTCTTTATGTAGTTAACACACTACCGAATGTGTCTTTAGAAAGCCCTGTCCTGGTGGTATTTTCAGTAGCCACTAACCTTGCCTGGTACATATGGGGGTTGTAAATTGGCATGGGAATTTAAGGCAGGTTCTTGTCGGTGCACAGCACAAATTAGTTATGTATGGGGGTGGCAGTTTTTTCATCTTCAGTTGTCTCTGATGCAGCTTGTACGAAATAATTGTTGTTCTGTTAACTGAATACCACTCTGTAATTGCAAAAAAAAGTTGCAGCTGCTCTGATGACATTCTGAATGCTCCAAAGTAAGTACAATTATTTTACTAAAAAAGGAAATCTGTGAATTAGTTTCCTCCCTTATCTGTAAAACTAGAAAAATAATAGTTGTATACAATTAGAAAACTAAAATATTTTTTTTTTTTAGAGACAGTCTCACTTTGTCACTGTTGGTAGAGTACTGTGATATCACAGCTCACAGTAACCCCCAGCTTTTGTGCTTAGGTGATTCTCTTGCCTCAGCCTCCTGAGTAGCTGGGACTACAGGTGCCTGCCACAATGCCCGGCTATTTTTGTTGTTATTGTTGCTGTTTGGCCAGGGCTGGGTTCAAACTCGCCACCCTCAGTATATGGGGCCAACACCCTACCCCCTGAGCCACAGGCACCGCCCCATAATTGATATAGTATTTTTATCCACTGTTAAGAATAAACGAAGTATACTTAAAGTTTTCAGAACACCGTCTTGCACACAGTAGAGGTTCGCTAATGGTTGTTACTATAAATACAATGCTTAAACTGAGAGACAAGAGTAGCTTTCACACTTAAGATAGTAGAATCAGAAGTGCTTGTATTATGAGAGGTCACTGCACAGACAAAATTTCAGAATGTCTCAATTCATCTGGCTCTCTTCCATGTCCTTTAAAGTATGAAACACAGACC